TTATACATAGTCTTAAATTAAAAAACGTAGAATACATTGATAAAAATTCAAATATTGAATATATTTTACATTTCTATCATAAAAATGATATCTATATACTTCTTGATACTGATGAATATGTTATTAGTGGCAATTTATCACTAGCACAATATAGATTTAAGGAACTGTATGAAAAATCAGATAGTAGTTTAAGCAAATTCTTAATAGCTAAGCTTAAAATATATACAAAAATAAAAGGACCAGGTTATCCAGTTATTCGCCATTATATTAATAGAAAACTGGCAAATAACAGTGACTATTTCGAAGAGGAGGAATTAAACATATTGTTGCTTGGTGAGACTGGCATGGGAAAATCTACATTTATAAATGCTTTCACAAATTATCTTAAATTTGATTAACTGGATAGTGCAAAAAATGGTAAGATGGAGGTATTAATCTCTTTCTTTTTCACAAAAACAGGTGAAAATTATGAAAATAAAGAAATTGTAAAAATCAAAGTGATGACTCTAATGGTTCAAATGAACAGCTTGAAAAAGGAGCATCAGCTACTCAAGGATGTAGATGCTATACAGTTCAATTAACTGACAATAAAGTTATAAGATTAATTGATACTCCTGGCATAGGTGATACTAGAGGAGTAGATCAGGATATAAAGAATTTTGTAAATATTCTAATGCATATTTCTTTCTATCATCATTTAAATGGAATTTGCATTCTTCTTAAGCCAGATCAATCACGAATAAATTTAATATTGAAATATTGTCTGCACGAACTATTATCACATCTTCACAAAAATGCTAAAGACAATATTTTTTTTGCTTTACCCATTCTCAAGGATCAAGCTATCGTCCAGGAACAACATCAACATCACTTCGTAAATTCCTTGATGATTTAAAGGAAAAATCGGGTGTTGAAATAAAAGTTAACAAAGAAACATCATTTTATTTGGATAATGAGTTATTTAAGATCCTTGCTCAAATTCAAAAAGGTGTTTCTTTTACAGCAGAAGAAGAAGAAGATTTTAAAAAAAGTTGAAAAAAGTCATTAAACGAACTAGAAAGACTTATAGAATATATTATTAAACCTCAGCTTCATAAAGTAAAAGATATACTATCACTTAACAATTCAAGAAAAATGATAAAATTTCTTCTTAATATTCTTGCAACAATGCAAGTAACCATTGATGATACTATCAATAAAATAATTATAGCTCAAAAAATGTTACAAGAAAATAATAAAACTATTAAAGAAATATTAGAAACTGGTGAAGAAATTTTAGAATTCCCCAAAGTTATATGCACAAGCAATAAGTGTATTAAAGATATTCAAATTAATAAAAAAAAACAAAAAACTTCCAGAATTTGTTGTAATGACCGACACCCAATTATTAGCACCAACAAGATGAGGAAATTCACTTTATTACTTTGTTCAGCCTTTGGGTTTAATTTTAAATATAAAATTTGCCAATGTTCCTTAAAAAAGCATAAATACACAAATATTGATCCAGATATAGAATTTAAAATCAGCAGAAAAATATCAGATGCCG